GCAAGAAAGCGGAATGCTTAAGAAGCAGAGGGTTGCAGTCTTGGGCCTCTTTTAAAAAAAGCACAACTTGCTCAAGCGCAAAATGTACAAAATTGAGAAAGTCCAAGTAATAAATGCTTGGGTGTCTGTGCAGCTTTTACATACTATACAAGTACAACAGAGGAAGAGCATGAAGGAGATGGTGCTTCATGCGAGGACACTGAAGATGATGATACTTCATGTGAGGACACTGATGAGGATACTGAAGGTTTGGATAGCGACGAAGAAACTGACATTGTTACTAATGAAATAGGGATTACTAATAGTGAGGAAGACGATGACAAAGAAAGTAGAAGCTGAAACAGTCAATGTTACAAGAAGTGGTAGACGTGTGCAATTAAAAAAATTTCTTTGGAATTTAGATTGAATATAGGTAAATCTGACCAGTGCATACTTTTTTCAGGGGTGGGTCACCTGCAATTTCGCTTCTAAACTGGGGTTGGGTCATCACATTTTCAGCATCATTTTATAATGCGCCAAGATAAAAAAACATTATTCTATTCTGATTTTGCCCCCCTCCATACTTTATGACCAGTTCCTTACTACTCTCCCGCACAGGATTTTTATAACGTGTGCACGACCCACCACCAGCCACGTCACAGGGCTAGTTTTGTTTTTGAAAAATCCTTCCACAGAGTTCTCTTATGGTCGACATTTTTTCGCTTTTTTGATTGGTTTTACTTTAAAAATGAAAGATAACTACGATAATTCAACTCGATATCAGGTTTAGTGAAAATTACAATGGATGTCTTTCATTTAACTTCAAATTTTGGAAATTTCCGTGTAATTTTTCAGGACTGCATCGACAATTAAAAAGAAAGCCGGTAACCAAAAATGTCTTTCATTTAACTTCAAATTTTGAAGATTTCCGTGTACTTTTTCAGGACTATATCAACAAGAAAACTGGTAACCAAAAAATCATCGATGCTTCTTTTACTTCACGATCTTTTGGTTATTCATATTAATATTTTTACGTTTTTGTATAGATTATATTTACCGCAATGAAAGTAATAAAATAGATGAGCTTACTTACCTAGCACCAAAACAGAAAATCAGATGGACATAAGATATATCAGGGAAATTTTATTCAGTCAGCAAGTAGTCGTAATCTACGATAAAACAAAATAAAGCTTTAATAAATATTTATGTGTTTAAATATGACTAACTCAATAACCTGGACTATTAGTATCCCATCTAGCCACCACCTAATTAGCCTCCTTTGCAGCCGCTATGAGCGCTTCCGGTTCCCGTCAATCCCCTACTAGCGTACGTATCCCATCAACCCATCACCTAATAGGATACTCGCAGTCCAGGTGATTCAGAGTGATAAGAGAGAACATAATTGTCAGGGGAATTTTATTCACTCGACTAGTAGTCGTAACCTAGGATAGCATAGATGAAGCTATATTTAAAAAATATGTGCTTAAATATGAATAACTCAATCACCTGGACTGCGAGTATGCCATCTAGCCATCTCGCAACGTACAAGCTACCCAATTTGGGGTGGTAGTACCCCCCCCCCCCCCGGGGGTACAAGCTAGATGGCATACTCGCAGTCCACCAGGTGATTGAGAGTGACAAGAGAGAGCATAATTGTCAGGGGAATTTTATTCACTCGACTAGTAGTCGTAACCTAGGATAGCATAGATGAAGCTATATTTAAAAAAAATTGTGCTTAAATATGAATAACTCAATCACCTGGACTGCGAGTATGCCATCTAGCCATCTCACAACGTACAGGCTAAATGGCATACCGCAGTCCAGGTGATTGAGAGTGACAAGAGAGAGCATAATTGTCAGGGGAATTTTATTCACTCGACTAGTAGTCGTACCCCACATGCACGAGAGCATAGATGAAACTATATTTAAAAAATATGTACTTAAATATGAATTACTCAATCACCTGGACTGCGAGTATGCCATCTAGTCATTTTGCAACGTACAGGCTAAATGGGACACTCGCAGTCCAGGTGATTGAGAGAGACTAGGGAGAGTATAATTGTCATGGAAATTTTATTCAGTCGGCTTTTAGTCGAATCCTAAGATAGCAAGAATTAAGCTATAATAAACATTTATGAGTATAAATTTGATAAACTCAATTACCTGGACTACGAGTATCCCATCTAGCCATAAGGATACTATTAATTACCGTCACTTGAAAGAAAATGCTCTTAAATACGGTTATTTGAAAAATAAATTGTATAAAATACGGTCATTTGAAAAAAAGGATACTTTTAAATACGGTTATTTGAAGGCTACTAAAGGATATTCTTAAAGTGTATATGACACGAAAACATTCCATCATTTAAAATGTATAGTTTGTTAGTAATAATAAATATATCGTAACAAAATTTGTTTCAAAAGCTTATTTCTTGAGATATTTGCGAAAGTTAATCCCAATTTGTGACGTCATTTTGTTGACACGTACTCTAGATTCAGTAGTAATGTACTAAATATAAATTGTAATTCATATGAATTAACAACAAAAGACATATTTTAGTCAGCTTCATTTGATAGCTTACGTAGTACTCTTCCAATGTTGGGAAACTGAAAAGTGTACTACTTGAAATTAAGATTCTATATTCAAACATATTTCATGTATTTGCAACAAAATCTGGAGACTTGTAAACAAAATGACGTCACAACTCGTGCTAAAAATTTTTGAATTTCTAGAGAAATGSGTTTTTGGAACAAATTTAACCGTGATATTCTTATTAATGCCAATAAACTACACATTCTTAACATTAAAATTTTTTCGTGTCATATACACTTTAAATACGGTAATTAGCAAAAAAGGATAACTCTTAAATACGGTTAAGGATACTTTTCAGTTTAAGATCATTTGGAAAAAATATACTTTTAAATGTGGTGAAGGATACCCTTAAATATGATCATTCCAAAAAATGATACTCTGAAATACGGTCAAGGATATCCTTAAATAAGGTCATTTGAAAAAAGGATACTATTTAATACGGTCATATGGAAAAATGGCGATACTCTCAAATACGGTGAAAGATACTCTTATCACAATGGTGTGTTTCGAGGAAAAGACTATCCATACCTTTGAGAGAAATCGTGTGGGAACAGTCCTTAGGGACTTGTGAGAAAATAGCAGAGGGGGAGGGGTGGGGGTGGAAACGTGGGGAGGGTCGTGACTTTTTAAGACCCTAAAAAAATGAGGGTCGAGAAAAAATGGACTGCTTAAAGGGGAGGGGTCGTTCAAATATATGCTTGAGATCATACAGTTGTAGGTTCACAGTATAAACAGATAAGAAAAATTAGCGCTAATATTATTTGGTTCAAATAACCACAACAACAACAAAGCATATCAGATGTATAAACTGTGAAGTAATATTTAAAATAGATTAACATGTTTCAAATGTCATAAAAATGTCTGATATATTTATTTTTGTTTTGATCACTATTTTCAGGGGGAGGTGTAAGTAATGGCTTCAGAGGCTTTCGAGTGAAACATTTGATGCTCGTAAAACCAGTATTTTTTTACGACAAAAACACAACACATGACGTCATTGATACGTATTTCACTTGATCTTTTAGATTTTGATAGTTTTAACCCTAAAATCCAAAATTGTGGAAAATAAAAATCTGGATTAACTCTTTGGATCGGACTTTTTCTAGGTGGAGTGTGGGATCGAGTATAAACATTTCTTTAATAATTTAATTTAAAAACAATATAGAAACTTAAACAATACTTGAAGAATTGCTTTGACGTTGTTATTTTTAGAAATTACTGATAAACATGGCTTTTATGAAAAGAAAACGGCTAAGAGAACACAGTGAGAATCTGTAAATTTATGCCACTTATTTTGCCATTTCATTTCATTTTTAT